GCTTTAGAAACTCGGTTATGGTCGCGGGTTGGTTGACGACCATGTGCCACTTGAACTCTTTGTGCATCACGCCCTTCTTGGCTGCAGCAAGGCGTACGGCGGGGTCTAGGCGCGGTATCTGCATACAAGCGTCGTTGAACCGCTTGATATAGATCCGGATGGACTCTCCCTCTCTTTGTGCCACGTTGAAGATGCTTTCTTCAGTTCGCGGGCACCGTTTGCTGGTGACAAAGTGGGACGTGAAGGCTTGCGCAAACTGCGCCCAACTTCTTATTGACCCGGGTGCCAAGTTCCGGTACCACGTGCGGGCCGCTCCTCTAAAAGTAGTGGAGAAGGCCACGCACATGCACGACTTATTGGCTCGCGCCAGGTGCATCTGTGACTGAAAGGCAGATGATCATTCGGGTCGAACGACCCGTCATACTTATCAAGAGAGGGGAGCTTGAAATCCTTGGGCATCGGGATTGCCAGGAGTTCGGAAGATAGGGGGGACGGAACCGGGAGGAGGGGAGCTTTGGCTTCAGCTGAGCCTACCTCTTCTTTGCCCATGAGCTCCGGCAAATCGCGGGTGACAGATCAGCGAGCTCGACGGCGGCGTCTCTGCTTCTTGATGGGCTCGGCGTTCGTGCTGCTCACCTCCGCGCTATCCACAATGGTTTGCGCAGTGACTGGCCCGGTCTGCTGGTGGTGGCTATGGACAGAGGGGTCCTGCTTGGAGTTTATTGCCAGGATCTCGAACCAGTTTTCAAGGATCGGGGTTCCAAACTTCGACTGTTGCGGTGACGTAGACCTGCCGAGCCGAGGTCCTCCCGACCTGTCCGCCCGCGGCGAGATCGGGGTAGCCGGTCTCTCCCGTCTGTCGTGGGGGGAGGCCTGATTTGTTGGGAGATTTTGGGGGGCCCCTCCTCGGCCAGAGTGCTCGTTCTGGCGGCGAGATTTGGCTTGCTGCGAGGCTAGGCGCTGAGGCGAGAGCTGAGGCTGCTGAAGCTTGAAGGAATGAGAGATCCATCCTATGGACGCCCAAAGAATGCGGAATAAGGGGCGAATTTCAAAAATTTTTCTCTCCCTTCAACTGGGAATCGTATTCCCTATTTAGAAAATCATATTTTCAAGGATCA